GGAATATTAATATAATAATATAAGCTTACATCAAGTGTAACATTAGGATGACTAAATACATTTATACTAGTTACATTAACTAGCAGCTGTTCCATGGTTTTTATGGTATGTAGTCAGTTTGTGTTCTAGTTATATTATACTCCCTCTCTCTGACCCTCTTTCAGCCACACTAATAAGTACATGCAAGTAGTAAGTAAGTAAGTAAGTAAGTAAGTAAGTAAGTGCCCCTAAACCCCTCTAGCATTTCAGCATCTCCCAGGTTCAAAGTCGCTCCTACGCCCCTGCTAAAACCCTTAGGAGAAAAGGATGAGATGAAGAGAGATTGAGATTTTGAGACTTGGGTAAGACATAGAGATACTGAATTGAGATTACAATAGGAGAAATTAAAGTCACAGATGATATCTCATCATTGTATCTTTTTGAGATCATTAATGTCTTGCTTATTGCTCCTAAAAAGCAGTTGGGAGCTCTGGGGAGATGTTTGTGAGCTTGATTGTATCACATCACTGTCTGTGCTTGGAGAGCTGTGCTGAAGGCCTGAGCTCCTGCTGTTCAAAGGGCAACAACACTGCCTAAACACTAAAATTAATAATGAAGCAGTTATTGTCTTTTAATAGAGTACAATTTTCCTTTACATAAAAGAGGAGGAATACCATATCCACATTTAAAGTCTCAGAAATTCTACTCAAGTAAAGGTCTAAAAGTGAAAAAATATAAGTATAAAAGTAGTGAATGTACTTAAATATAAAAAGTAAAAGGGCTTATTCTGTATGACAGATACTTGTTGTGTATCAGTTCTTGCGTGCATTCGGTCATTAATGAATTAATCTCTGAACATCATGTCAAAGTATTGTGTGTTGCAGATATGCTGGCTGTGACAACCTTAACCAACTGGAAAGCACGACATTTGAAAGTGCAATATTTTCAAAGTCAAAATTTATTTATTCTCAGTAACTTGTTACAGATAATTAACAATAATACAATAAGGATTGGAAATTAAGGGGAGTAAAAGTACAAACCCCCATAAAAAGAAAATACTCAACATTTGACATAAGTAAAGTACTTTAGTAAAATAACCCCTAAGTGGGTCACTAAGAAAAAACTGAGAAATATCTTGGAGTTTATTTCTGATCCACATTCTGGAGACTGAAATTACAGTTATTTAAGATACTGTAGAGATCTCATCTTTTGATCAGAGTAAGACAGAGATGAGTTTTTGCTCCTGAGGCCAATATGAGAAAACTGAGACCTATTTGAGAAGAATCATGAGATCATTTAATTATTTAAGATCAGTTAGAGATCTTGTCAGACATAAATGAGATTTTATAGGGTTGTTTCTCCTGAGATTAATTTGAGAAGTGGGAGAAAAAGGCCTTTGGTCTCACCTTGGTATTAAAAGCAGCTCATTTGTGTCTAGGAGAAAAGGAGGAAACAACAATGAGATCTCATCTTGGATTTTGCTTTCCTATGGGTACTGATAAAGTACACAAACTAGCTACTAGCTTACTTAAAACTAGTTCCACCTACTGCAATAAAATGCTCTAACATTGATGCATCAGTAAGAATTTAATAATGTCAGCAGATTGATCAGATTTAGCAATAGTAATATGTGGTACACCTACTACTGTGTGGTGTGTGTGAAAATAAGCACACACTGATATATCAGCTGTAAGGTAGCTTTAAATCCTCATCCTGATTCAGTGTTGTGTTTACACTTTGGTAGTTTTCCTGCTCTGTGTAGATACAGCAGAAATAATGTCAGACTGTTGGGCAGAGAGAACACAAAGGTCAACACCTCCCCAAACACATGATATTATTACTCACCGATGAGCTTCTGATTATAATAGAAACCACATTCCCACCAAACTTCAACCACAGAACTCCCATTATGATTATTATGGTGTGGATAGCCCTCAGCTTTGATGGATCAATCTTTACCCTGTCCCCGCCCACTTCACCTGGCCGAGGGCGAATCAGAATGCGGAGAACAGTAAGGCTGCAAAAAGTCATGACAACTAAGGAGATGATTAGCATGGAGTTAACGGTCAAAACAGCTTTATTGTGTTCAAGGTGGAGCAGGAAACCTGCCCCACCCAAGCACATCAACCAAACGCACCCAGTGGTGATGTTTCTGATCCTGACCCCGCCCGCCTGTTTTAGGCCCAGGTAAGTGACTGGGTGAACAACAGCCAGGTAGCGCTCCATGCAGGTCAGGATGAGGAAGAGAATCTGTGCTAACCAGCTGAAACACCCGATAAAGCCGCCCACAGACGACCACAGTGGGAGATCAGAGTAGCGGCTGTAGTTGTAGAAGCAGTAGGCGGTGTACCCATAGGGCGCAATCAGCTCTATGACGGCCATGTTGTAGGTGAAGAAGTCTGAGTGACTCATGACAGCTGCTGTGGAGACCGAGCCCTGCCGTCTCCATCGCTGGGATCCCAGATAGAGGATGAAGACAGCGAAAGGGATGACGAGGAGGGCGTAGGTGGAGGTGGCTGTAGAGAGCATGGCGATGCCAACTGGGTCAGAGCAAGGAAGCATGTTGGGAGGAGGATGGGAGTCATTAGTGAAGTTGACAGACATATTTATAGGATGGAGGCCTGAAGAGGAGGAGAAACTGTAGAGAGAGGGAGAGAAAGAGAGAACAATTCAGTAAAATCTTAAATGTATTTAATGTATGTATGTATTAAAATATATTGCATGATCAAGAGATTACCTCAACAATTTCTGTTTTTTTGTATGTATCATTTAATTTAACCATTGAGCCCGAAAACCCTTTTGCGAGAGACCTGGCCTGGAAGGCAGCAAAACTCTCAAAGCTGCTCACGCCTTCAACTTTAACAAACAAACAAGAGACATCAGAGAACCCACATTTTTAATTTCATATATGGTCTTCTGGAAATGTTCATTGTTGCCCTGGATTCAAACTGCCTTCACACACGAGAAATTAGGAGGACTATCCGTGACTTGTGACTGACTTCTTCATCAAACCAACCAGAGTTTGTTTTTCTGCTGAGCAAAGCTGATGTTGTTATAGTTAATAATGTTACAATTTCTTATTTCATTGGCTATTTAAGATTTTGGAGTAGCCTAATATAAAACAAAGCAATTTTAAAAGTTTTAATAGTAAGTCAATAAGTAGTCGTGTAAAGCCCTGGATATACTTTTAATTATGTGTCCGCGTACGCAAGATGGCTGCCACGCGTATCCTGCGTTCCTTTGGAGCGTCGATTGTGCACGTCTCCAGGAATTAACGCTACGCGTTTCCGCAAAATGCAATTCAGCACATGGACGTGGGGGCAGTATGTCGATCTGACCGGCAGGTCAGCAGCAAACTACTGTTTCACACATCCAGGTGGTGGCGATATGCAGTTGATTTGCCAACCGGCATTAAATGGAAAAGAAGAAGAAGGTCAGCAGCATAAGTGGAGATTTATGGCAGGATGTTAACATAAAAAACCTCCTGGAGCTAGTACGCAATTACCAAGATCGTCATGATGTCTCATTAAAATCACAACCTCCTCAAGTGGTGCTATGTTCGGTTTGTTTACGATGTGCAAATTTGGAGGTTGTCAAGGAAGATAATCTGGTGTCTGCGAGGGATGATCCGGTCCTGGTCTGCACCCAAGTGGATTCAGGTTTAATCCTCCAGGTACACACAAAGTACGCAGGCAAGTATGTGAACAATACCATTTACGTTGCTGTCAATGCTTACGCATTGTGAAAAGCAAGTATATCGAGGGCTTTATAATATAGTGATCTCAATACTGACCAAAATAATTGTGATTATGATCAAATTTAACATTTGTTGTGTGAAATACAACAGTGACCGATCTAGACTTAAAACTACAGTGTTTGCTGTCAGGGACTCTGGAACAGTTTACCTTTCATAATTCGTCAGCTTCCTCTCAATCAATCAATCAATTTATTTGTCCCGTAGGGAAATTAGTTTGCAGCACAATCAAGTAGGCATTACATCATACAGCACGAGATACATACTGATACACTAATACACACTAATAGACATAATTCCCATACACCACACTTGATTAAATAAGGCAAACCCCTTACCTGTTTAAAATATTAATTTCTGAGGCACAAATTTATCTATCGGCAAATAGAGGGAGGCGATATAACACTTTCACTAAAGCACAATGAGCATTTTCTGATGCATTTTCAATGAAGCATATTAGATGATAGTTTCTTTAAAAAGTCTTTGTTGCGTCTC